GGGGAGGACAGAGGGAGAGTCCGGGTGGGCTTGATGCTCAGCGTTCGCCCTCCCCCGCCCCCGATTCTTTCTGCAAGGCCATTACGGCCATCTCCCGGCCTGAGCGTCCTGCAACCAAGCCTACCAAGAGGGGTTTTCTCCGTGTTGTCTTCTCACCAAAACCCAGAATCCAGACCCAAGAAAGAACCACTCCTGCTGACCCCTCCTCCCGCTTCGCGTCCCAACTGCATTCCCAAGCTTTCGTGGAGGTGACCCAACAGCACGCACTTCCCCACTCCGCCTTTCATGGGGTGGGGTCCCTAAGAGGTACTGCAGACTCACTCCCCTTTTCATCTCTTACCCCACCTGGAGGAAGAGGCATGGCCAGGATGGACACCAGAGCACATTTCCCAGCATTTCCAAGGGGAAAGGCCAGCATCTCAGCATGCAGACTCCAACACGGCCACAGAAAGGTCGAGTGGCGCCGAGGAGCAGACTGCTGCCCAGGCCCCTAGGGCCACTTCCAAAGGAGTGTGATAAGGACTAGGTTGCTTTGGACTCACTCGTATTACAGGGCTGCGCCCTATACACCTGTTTGTAAAGGGTCCTCCTGGTATGTAATGGTGAGGGACCACCAAGCGGTGGACCAAGGATTCCAAACAGACCAGCCCCCTGCCCTGCCAGGAAACCAGATGTGGCCCAGATGTCCATAGCAGTTCCTCCCACAGGGTGGGACACCAGCTATTCTGTGCAGCCCCTCCCAACCCTTCTTCCAGGGTCAGGGAGGAAAGCTGGCGACCTCCGTTGTCCCTTCTCATTTGGGCTGCTAGAAGGGAGCAACTCACTCATCCTCGTCTTCCTTCCCAGAGCCACCTGGGCTTACCTCTGCAGCAACCACCTAGGTTCAACCTGTGGTCTAACCACAAGACCTCTGCTGACAGGTTAAGTCAAGATCGCCGGGAAGGAAGACATCCAGTTTCATTACACACACATACGTACACACACACCCGACACCGACCCATGCGCCTGGGCTCTGCACAGTGGCTAGACCCCAAAAAGCAGATTCTCCGGTTCCCTCCCTGGTGGCCTCAGTCTTTTGGCGGCGCCCTCTGCTGGCCACTATGAAGTGCAGGAAAAAACAGTATGAAGATAGACGCTTGGTGGATCTAGGGAAGGGGACAAGAGGCAGAGAAACAAGTGAAAACTGGGAACTGAGAGCAGCGCTGGGCTGGCCATAAACAAGCGAGGCATGGTGACGCCTTCCTGGAGGTGGGGAGTTTTGAGTCAGCTTTCCATGGGCCTAGGGGGACAAGCCAAGCTGGCAGATAGGGGCTCAGAACACCACAGGGGTGGCCCTTCTTGTGTGCTGAGCCCTGCCCCTGTCCTGGATGGCTCACACACCCACTAACTCTGATGGCTGCTGTGCCCTGCTTGGGGGTCCTTCCTGTCAGCCTCTATTGCGATGGTGGGTGGGGAGGAGCAGCCATGGAAACCCTGATCCTTCTAGTCATAGCCTGGCTCCTTGGGACCATGAGAGGTGTCCCCAAAGAGAAGCCTCTGATTGACAAATCTCTGCCCCACCCCACATACACACAGGATGGCCCAAGCCCAGGTCCCTGGCATGGTGGGGCAGGGGCCTGAGTCACAGCCTGGTGTGACCCTGCCCAGTCCCAGGAGTGGCCAGCTCGCCGAGAGGTGAGACCCAGGTCAACAATCCATCAGTCTGCCTCCTGCCGCCAGGTATCCTCCCCATCACGTCCTGCACGTGGGGTGGGCCAGGACAGTGCTGGGCAGAGCTAGTGTTGGGCCTGTGCCTGGGGGCCACCAAGGGGGCCTGGAGAAAAGAATGGAGAGGTTTTCACCTCCTGAGCAGCAGGAGGAGCCAGGTGGGGTTAAAGACAGGAGGTTCTGGTTGGACCCACAGGCATTCGGAGTCTCTCCCTGCCTGCTGGGTGAGGGAGGCAGCAGGTGCCAAGAACTGCTAGCTTCTAGGACCTGCCCCTCAAGTTGCTTCTCCTGAGGAGGGGCTTCTAGGGTCACCCTCAGGGCCTTGACATCTGCACAGGCCCTTCACCAGGGACTTACCTCCAAAGGCAGCTCCTGCTCCCAGCCTTCACAGGCCCCACTAGGGCCCAAGTCCCCAGACCCAGCCTCAGTATGCAAGCTGGCCAAGTCAGAGAGCCTGGCTGCCTGGACCACTCCCAACCAGTAAATGGCACTGTGGGCTTCCTCCATTCTGCCTTCCCCGCCCCACTTCATTGATTAACTGACTTCCAATTTACTGGCCAGGCCCGCTTCCAGACCCTGCCTGAGTAAAGAGGACTCCCAGAAGCAGTGATTGAAGGCCCAGGAGGATACAGAGAGCCAGGTGCTTTAATTGGAGGTAATTAGTTAATTTACTCTGAAAGCAATGGGGCAGGGCAGGGACAGGGGGAGTAGAGGGGAGGGGAGGAGCTAGGGGGCTGTGACCTAACTGGGCTCAAACTCTCAAACTCTGGTCAGCAGCCTCCTTCTGGACCACAGCTACCCTGAGTGTACACACCCACTTAGGAGACCCTCTCCTGGGCCCCAGGTCAGAGCAAGACCCAAAGCAGACTAGGGTGGCTTTACAGAAAAAGCAGGTGCCCTGGGGTGGTGGGAACAGACCTTTTGAGGTTAGGTAGGTGTGGACTGGCATGAGGGGATTGGAGAAGTGCAAGGAGCTCTGGGATGGGAACTGGTCCGTCTCCTGTCACCTATACTTCCATCCCTCCCAAGGTCATTGCTCCCACCAAAGTTAGTGGCCCAGCCCCCTCCTTTGGTCAGTGAAATCCCAAGGCAGCCCATTTTAAATACAACGGGGCCTGAAGGCTAACTTCTGGCATTCCTGCTTTGGGAAATCATTCCAATAACCGGGAAAAAAGGGGGCCCGAGGACAGAGCCCCTCCCGGGCCCCAGGGGGCGTGTCGTCGGCTCCTATGCGTCGCCGGCCGGCGGCGTGGCGGGGACTCTGGCCGGCAGCCTCCCGCGCCGTCCGGAGCAGCTGACCCGCTGGCGGTGGGCCAGGTCGCGGCGGGGCCTGGAGGCAGCAACGTGCGGCGCGGCATGTCGCGGGCACCGCGGCAGGGAAATGTGGGGGCGGGCCGGCGCGCCCCTTCCCCCGCCCTACGCTGGCCCATTCATAAAACCTGCAGGCGCTGCCTGGCCTGGCAGCCTTGGTCTCCTAATTGCAAACTCATTAAGGAGTTTGCATCTCATTTGCATGGAAATCATTTCCTGGCCCTAAACAGAGAAACTTCCCGCCCCTCCACCAGCCCCTCTCTGCCCTGCTTTACCCATGCACAGTCTGGGAGAGGAGAGGGGCATATCTCTGACCTGCACCCCTTCCCTGGCCTCACCACCACCCTTCCACTTTAGGAGTTGGGGAGGGGATTGGCAGAACACCCACCCAGCCAGGAGCCCTGCCTGTGCCCCAGGTGAGCCGGCCCTGCCCTAGTGGGTCCAACTGAGGGGAGGCGCCTGCCAAGTCATTTGCCCCCCGGCCTGACTGTGCCCAGGGAAGGGAGGAGGCGGTCGGCAGTTGGCCCCAGCAGCTGGTTGTACCTGGCAGGAGGTGGGTGAGGCTTTTCGTGCCCAGCCTCACGTACGTGCCCTGCCACAGGCCGTGCCCCCACCCCCACACCCCTCACCCCACAGAACAAGCGCCTAGTGACTGCAGAAACAGACACCCAGTCATGGCACACAAAGGCACCCACACCAGGCCAGCCATCATGGCTGCCACCCTGGCAGCCACCCTGGAGGGCAGACAGATGCCTTCACAAGCCATTTTGTCTTTCTCCAGCTTGGTGCCAGGACTGGGGGTGGGGGAAAGGGTTTCTCCTGAGAGTTCTCTGAGTAAGGGGGCCCATAGAGGGGTTTCCTTATGTACCCCAGCTGTGGCCTCTTGCCCCTTCTCTCCTGTAACCCATGTTTATAGAGGCCTCCAAGTGCTCTACCCTGCATGAGGACCTGCCCAGGCGAGGGGGTCTCAGGAGGGGAAGTGGGAGATAAAGCCCCTAAGGAAGGGACACCTAAGTGCCTCCCCAACCAGGGTCTGTCCTTCCTGTCCCAAGGGTGTGTGGTGGAGGGAGTGCTCTCCAGTTTCCTGAGGGTTGGTGGGGGGTGGTATTCTAAACCTTTGGAAATGGAATAGAACTGCCTAAAGTATATGAAATTAGATACTACTTGGGACACTATGTCCTGGTTCTGTATGTCCTGGGACAGTGTAAAAAGTGATCACAAAATTTTCAACATCACAGTCTAAAATAAAAACCTGCCTCTTGTCTTCCTCCCCAGACATATCCCTGCTTACGCTTCCCATCTGCCCACACTCCCACCTGCTGTATCTGAAGTTTCTCCCTTCCGTTGCTAGGGCATAAAGGGGTGAGCAAGGATGTTTTGAAACACTGACCACACATTCGTCCTGAGTATGGCTGGACTGACCCTACCCTCCCAGCTCGTGGAGCAGTTGGGTTTCAGGTGCCATATGTGTGCGTGGTTCAGGGGTGCTGGAAAAAAGTTTTAGAATGCCTATTTATTTTTCATCTAATCCTTTTTTCGTTTAGTGTGTGTTTTACAAGGTAAACTATATAAAAATATACTCGTATGACAGGTGTGTACTCAACAATCTTTTTTATTGCTAAGGGCACATGATCAAAAAAACTTCGGAGGTCACCGGCCTAGACTTCAGGTGGGGCAGCTGTGGGCAGGGGATGGCTTGTCTTGTCCATCTAAGTATCTAGCCTGACACATGACTAGTTCAGAGCCTGGCAGGGAGCAGAGGTCAGGGACACAGCATTGAATGAACAAAGTCCACCCCTAGAACTGACAGATGAGGAAACTGAAACAATTCTGGGGTGGGGAGATTGCTCAGAGGAGGACGTGGGCAGGTTGAGAGAGTCTCCCCTCATTGCTGCTATGTCTGCAGCCTGCCCGTGTCCAACACCCAGCACCCACCCAAATCCTACTTCTACCCACCCCAGGGAGCACAGCTCCCTCTTCTGCCTGCCGGCAGAGTGGCCACCTGTCTTGAGCGTCTTACTGGATCCTGATTAGCAGAGCCAGACAGGGTTGTCACCTGCCACATCCCTCTACCTGGCAGAAAGTCTGTTGCCAGCTTTGTATCCTAGAACTCTCTGGAAGTCAATCTGGTGTAGGAGAAAGAATTTAGGCTCCAGACAATCCTCATCCAGCTTGGTGACCTTGGGCACAACACATAACTGGTATAAGCCTCAGTTTCCCAATCTGTATATGGGGACCAATATTTGTACTTACTATACAGGGTTGTTGTGGATGTTGAGTAGCCCCCTGTGTGTATAGGGTCTGGCATATACTAGGTTTTCAGTAATATTCCTGTCCCTCTGTGTGCAGCAGGTGCCCCATAAAGAATCTGTTGAATTGTGATTTGACATCAGCATGGGAAGGAGAACTCTGAAGGCAGACAAACGAGCCTTTGCTCCCTCCTCTGCCTGCTGGCACGGTGGCCACCTGTCTGAGCTCTGTCCTGCGCCTTCCTGCAGAAATGAAGCAGCCACTCTGGCAGCCTTGGGTCCTCTCCAGGTTCATCCACTTTGTGGTGGGGTGTCCTCCCCCTTTTCTCCCTTACAGCTCCTTTCCCTCTTTCAGCGCTGCTTTCACTTCAAGCATGAGCTGAGGGTGACTCCTGGTGGTCACTCGTATAACTGCAGAATCCTGACCATTGACACCTCCATCTGGAAGTGCGTGAAGTCGAGTGTGCAAGGAAGTCATTCTTTACACTTTCCCTACACCTCCCAACTCCCTGTCAGGGCCCTGGGGAGCCTCAGCGGTGACTACTCCCCGGGGACTCCACCCTCTGAAGTTCCACCTCTAAGGGCTTCACTTGCCTGATTAGTGGGGACAATCAAGGAGGCCTCTGCCCAGATCCTGCAGCACCAGGCCTGGCTCCAGGCAAAAAGCAGGACAGTGGCTACTCTTCCCTCAAGTGCTACTGAACACCTTGCAGGCATCATTTTGTCCAATTCTTACCACTAGAGCCCATTATCACAAAGAAGAAACCAAGGTACAGCAAGGTTAAGCAACTTGCCAAGGATCACACAGCTCCCCAGTGCCCAAATGGTGAAATGAATACAGGTGACACTCAATGGGACACCAGACCAGCCCCTGGGAGACAGAGGAGGCCTTGAGGAAGGAGCCTGCCATGGGGTTAGAAGCCTCAAGTTCTGACCCAGCCTTGCCCCAACTAGTGGGGTGGCCTCCATCAAGGGCCTCTGCTCACTGAGCCTCAGTCTCCTCAACAGCACCATGGGGTGGAGGACAGAGCAGGATTCTCAGATTGGCTGTACATGGAAATCACTGAGAGGATTTTTCAAATACCCATGTTTGCCCAGCCCTGACTAAGGAAATCAAAATTGGTAGGGGTTGGCTAAGACATAGGTAATTTTAAGAAAATCTAGGTGATTCTATAGGCAGCCAGGGTTGAGAATGGGTCCTCTAGGAGTTCCCCATCTTCAGACTTCCCAGCCCTCTAGAGGTTGGCTCCCCAGGGCTCCCCTCTGTCCTAAGGGTTCTCCAGAGAAACTCTCTTTTTTTTTTTTTTTTTTTGGGACAGAGTCTCACTCTGTCGCCCAGGCTGGAGTGCAGTGGCGCAATCTCGGCTCACTGCAAACTCTGCCTCCCGGGTTCACACCATTCTCCTGCCTCAGCCTCCTGAGCAGCTGGGACTACAGGTGCTCGCCACCACACCCAGCTAATTTTTTTAATTTTTTTGTATTTTTTTAGTAGAGACAGGGTTTCACCTTGTTAGCTAGGATAGTCTCGATCTCCTGACCTTGTGATCCACCCTCCTCGGCCTCCCAAAGTGCTGGGATTACAGGTGTGAGCCACCGCACCCAACCCAGAGAAATTATCTTAACTTGCCCACCCAGACCCACAAGAAGCTGCCTCCCAACCACCCAAGGGGACAGGGGCCCATCAACCCTTTCCAGAGGGGGCACAGTACGCTTGAGCCTCTTGAGTGTCTGACCCCAAGCCTGGCCTCTGGGGTGGTAGGAGAGAAAGTCATAGGGAGCTTAACCTCAACAGGATGAAGGCGCCATAATTAGGGTCAGGCGGTTGGCTCAGCCTGCGGAAATCCCCAGCTTAGTAGGGATGGGGAGTGGCACTGCAGCCTGCGGGAGGGGTCAGGGCAGAAGTGAGGGGGCAGGGGAGCCCAAGCACATGGAAACCCAGGACCTAGGCCCCAATTACCTCCTGAGAGGGCCCACTGGGGGCTTCTCAACACAATTCACTCAGAAGGAAAGGCTGACCAGCCCCCCAACCCCAGAGACCCTACTGCTCCCTCAGGCTGGGGTGCATCAGGATCATCCCCCTACCCCAGCCTTTGTCAGGAGGAGGAGGGCACCGGTGGGAAAAGGCTACGTGAGTGTTCCCAGGGCGACCCAGGCTTCTCTCCTGATTGTAATCCTCAGGCCTTGAGCGAGGGATCGCTTTCCACTGTGGAATGTGACACCAAGGGGACAAAATGGGGCCGGGGAGGGGGGCAGAAGCCATGGAGGGAAGCTTGCAGGGTGGCACTTTTAGCCCCCAAAAGGCCCTCCAGGAGGCAGCTGCACAGAGAGAATCCCCTTGCTCCCATGACTCCCTGAGCCTGTCATCTGGCTCACCCCAGGGCACAGGGTCTCAGGCTGGGCTGTCCAGGTGTCCCCCACTCGCAGACTCCTGTCATGAATCCCAGTGCAGGGGGATTTGGATGATCACCTTTGCCAGCCACTCATTTTGCAGGGGAGGAAATGTTCCAAGAGATGAGAACTAGCCAAGACCACGCAGCACCAGAACCACTCCTAGAAGCCCCAGCTTCTCCAGAGACTGCTTCAGTTAGCCAGCAAAAACTGGAGCCTGCAGCCTCAGGAGTTGCCACACACACCTAGGCCAGAATCCCTCTGCCCTGTAGCAGGACACCCCTCCCTCTTGCCCTCCAGGGTCATGGGCTGGACATGGCAAGGTAAGCAGAGGGCAGATGCATACTAGTCCACACAAGCTTGTGACGGCTGGGACTAGGGGCCAACCTAGTGGCTCCCACATTGAGAATCAACGCCAATTCCAGGAAGCCTTTCCAGCTGACCCCCAACAAGCTGGTAATACTTCCCTCCCACCACACAGCCTTGGCCTCTCAAAGGCTGTCCTCTCCCCCAGCCTCACTCTGACTCATTATGTAGGTCCTGCCTGGGCCTCAGTTCTCCTGGCCATGAGCTCTCCCCATACCTTAACCTGGGAACCCTTGTGGGCAGGATCATGTGGGACAAAAAGGTCCTGTGCCCAACCCAGCACCAATCACAGGGAGGCTTGGGACTAAGGAGGGGCTCCTGGAAAGAGGGCAGAACTCAGCTCAAGTCACAGAACCTGGGAGGGACCTTCAGTGGGAAGCAGCTTCATATGTCATCTGGGGTGAGCATGGTGGCTCACACCTGTAGTCCCAACATTTTGGTGAAGCAGAGGCTGGAGGATTGCTTAAGGCCAGGAGTTGAAGACCAGCCTGAGCAACATAGCGAAAACTTGTCTCTCCGTATATTTTTTTAATATTAAAAAAAAAAATTTAAGGTCATCTGGTCCAGTCCCTTGTGCCTCCCAGTTGGGAGTCATCGAACTTCTCAACACTGCAGAAATGGGCATCTCTTCATGTATTTAGTCATTCAGTCATCCATCCAATGAACCTTGCCCAACTGTCTTCTACATCTCTGCAGCCAAGGCAACCCAATCCATTCTCAAGGCACAGGTTAAATCCTTACCAAATAGAGTCAAGGGTCCATCCATTTCCTCTGCCGGGCCTAGCATGGTTCTAAGTGGAAGTAAAAGGTGCTGATCAGCAACTGCCGCCCACCTTTACGTTCCACGGTGGCGTTCTCACCTGCCTTGCACATCATGGGTTCATTTCAGACTCAGCCACCGTTCCAGACAGATTGGCCCTCACTAGCAGATGGGAAGCTGAGGTTGAGCAGGTGAAATGGCCTTGCAGCTGGAAGAAAGGTAGGGCCAGGACTTGGCCCAGGCAGCTGAACTCCCAGCCCTGGATTCATTTTACACACCCACTCCCAGCCCTCCACCAGCTTGGGTTTCATGTGGAAGACAGGATTTCCCCCGGGGGAATGAAAATTTGATTTTGGCCCCTAATTATAAAAATAACAGTGAAGATGGCTCAAAGGCCTGCTGGTCTCAGTGCTGTGCTGATTTTGCTAAATGCACGGGAGTCAAGTGTTGCACACAGAACCCCCCACCCCTCCTCGGGGCCAGGCTCACAATGCCCTTGGCTGGCA